ATATGAAAGCTTAAAGTATTCTACACCTTCTCATTTACTATCAAGTCTTTTAAAGCAATATTGAGAAATAATCTGAGGTTTGAGGTGAAAAAGTGATACCGTTTTTGAATAGCTGTGAATTCATGTAGAGAAGATCTTTCTATGTGAAAGAAGCACTTTCTAACAACAAAGTTCGAGTTTATTATAAAAATAAGATATTTTAAAAAAACTTCATGTGACACGAATTTCGAATTTATTTTCACATATAGAAAAATCAATACTATTAAGTATTAGCTTCAAAGTTACAATTTGTATTTCCTTTGTTTTAAATAGCAACGTTACGCGAGCATATAAATATTTTTTCGATTTTGACAGAAATGCGACAAAATGAATTTTCATCATCATTCTAGTAGTTCCAATAGATTTTTTAAAAATAAAAAACAAAGTAAAAAACAAAATAAAAAACGTAAAGGCAATAATCTTGTAAAAAAAACTGAGAGTAATAAGAAATTAAGAGCTTGGGAGGATGATCCGGAAGAAGAAATTCCTTTTGATGATAGTGAGATTACAATGGCAGAATTGTGTAATAAGGATATGAAAAGAGGAAGAAAATCAAAAACTTTCAAAGAATTGGAGCTCAAAAAATATCAAAATTCACAACAAAAACGAGCAATAAAATCAAAGAAAAAAAACTCTTCAAAAGATGAAGATATTCCTGAACAAAATACTGAAAGTATCACAATAGACTTAATTGACACTGATTTACAAATTGGTGATGATAATGATGATAACAATAATGAACAGAATCAACAACAACAACCACTAGACGAGCCAATTAATAATTTGGTAAGAAATAGCGATTCTATCAAGGATAAAAATGATTCATCAGAAATTGATCAAGTTGATATTGAACATTTAGATCAAAGTGAAAATAATTATGAGGAGAATCAAGAAGATGGAGAAGAGGTGATGGAAATAAATACGATCGAAGAACATTATGAAGATGAAGAAATACATGATGATGATGAATTTTCAACAAATTTAAGAGAATTCTATAAAGATAATGAAGAATATTATAATGGCGAGGTGGAATCTATAGGAAACGAATCAAGTGAAAATGAAAATAGCTCTTTAAATAATAACAATAGTAATAATAATAATAATAATAATAATAATAATGATAATGATAATGATGATGATGATAATGATAATGATGATAATGATAATAATAAAAACAAGCCAGTACTTTTAAAACGGTATAAATTTTATATATGCAAGATATCTTGATAATGTCTAATACATACATAATTGCTAATTTATTATTGATTTTGTTAGTCGCACATTTGATCAACGTAATAGTAAATTTGGAATGAATGATGATGGACAGTACACTATTCGTGAAACTCGCCAACCGATTCGAAGAAATCCTGTTAGTGATGAAGGATTGGAACTTATAGAAGAAGATAATTTTTCACATTTGGTAAATTCAGCTACATATTCCAAACATCCAAGAAGAATTGAAAGATGGTCTCAAGAAGACACAGATTTGTTTTTCAAGGTGGATATTTTCATTATAATAAAATTGTTATTTTTTTTTGTTTAATGAAATCAAATTATAATCTTTTAAAATTTATAATTAAGGCATTATCACTATGGGGAACAGATTTTGAAATAATTTCAAAGAAAACATTTTGTGGTAGAAAGACTCGTGACCAGATTAAAAACAAATATAAAAGAGAACGAAAGAATAATTTAACCAAAGTTAATACAGCTTTAGATACTCGTATTATTGGTTAGCATTCCTTACATTTATATGTAATATTTTTACTTAATTTTATATATAATACATAAAATGATGATTCATTGAAACCTTTGGAATACTACAATGGCTGAAACTTTATAACTTATTAGATTTATTTTATGTAATAAAATTTTATATTATTTATAATAAGACAATTATTTACATATATTTAAATAAAATCAGAGTAATATAACTTAAAGGAACACAATTATTTTAATCCAATTTGATGTTATCAGGCATTTTCAACAGAAGAATGTAGCAGCACAAAAAACTTTTTTAAATCTTTCAGGATCAGCCCCAAAAAAATATTTATATTAAAATGTGGAGCTACAAAATAATAATTTCTTAATTGGTTAAATAGAAGAATTTTTATTATTATTAAGACTGGATTTTTCTTTAGAACTGTTTCTTTGCTATATATTCTTTATTATTGTGAAATTCTGCTGTGAGATGTTGAATTCTAGCAACATTCTTGTATGCAATATTTTTTTAATCGTGATAATTTTTTTCTTTGAAATTAATTATAAAATAAAGATTTATAAAAGCATTTTATATATTTATACAAAACAGCTTGATATGTTAAATTATTCCATTTGAACTGTGGAAGATATTTGATATTCCATAAATCATCATGACAATAATTATTCTCCTGAAATCACATCAATATTAATAATAGCTTAGCTTAGTATCTTTTTCATCCTAAAATCCAACTTTAACCTTCTATAAAAATTTTCTTTATTATCACTGTATTTAACATCTTTTATAGGAAAAAAAAAAGTTTTTATTGTTATTGTTATTGTTATTGTTATTATTATTATTAATTATATTGTGTGATATTATATGTTTTTTTTTAAAAAAAAAACTCTCCTTATCATATCTAAACATTGTCTGTCTAAAATTACCCTCAGGTGAGTATGCATGACCAATTTCTTCATATTGGCACTATTTCATAAAGGTGGAAATATAATTGGTTATGATATAAAAAAACAGAATTCAACATGAACTGTTTTTTGTAGAAATTTCATATGAACCATTCAATCAAAATGCTGAAGTTTACATAGATAGTAATGAAATTAAATTAAGTAAAGATTCGATTGACTGAATGAGTAGATTCTTATCAAATGCAGATAAAGTTCCAATAATTCTAATACACGTATATGAGAGAAATGTTTTTTTGCCTTGTTGATAAAACAACGTCACCAGCATATAAAAAAGTGCTATTAAGAAATACTAGGATTCCATTATATGGTAATTAATACTTCTTATGTTCGTCTGAATGATTTTCTGACAATAAAGGAAATAAGAGCATACCTTTCCGTTTACACAACTCCTTGTGATAGAAAATTGGTATTAGGCTACAACAAAAAAATTTTTTTTATTTTCAATCATTTTATTTAGACACCATTTTTACACATGCCCTCTTTTTTTCTTTTCTCAAGCTAAAAATTTTCAATGCGAGTTATTTATTTTACATTGAATTCAGAGTTCTAATAAATGGAAGTCGATTTCTAAAAACAAAAATTATATAATTCCCAATTCGCAGATCATCGACCAGGGAATTTACTTTAAAAATAGCGACTACATTACAATTTCCTACAAACTATCTTGTGAGAGATCATTGTCAGAAGTACTCAAATGATAGAAAACACAGTAATATTAGTACAGAAAATTGACGACATACACAATTTCATATCAAGAAAACCTTCTCAATAGCGACCACACGCATAATTTTCTTTTTATCGAGTATGATAAAGTACCTTTTTTTTATTAGTAAATGTACCTTAACCTTTAGATGCTTGGGGTTCAACTTAAACTTTTGTCCCGCCGTATATTTCTTCATTTTTAAATTAGGACTTTATTTGAAAATCGAGAACAAATTTTACAAGTCTGCTCGTTGAACATAGCAATAGAACATTCATTAACTACTCATAATTATGATGATGATAATGTTTTTATCTGTTTATTTATTCGGTTGATTTCTGGAATAATAAACATATATAATAATTATTTTTTAAGAGTAAATTTTTATGCATAACGATAATGATAAATAAATTAATAAATTAATTTATTTATAATTATCATTCTATTTCTTCGTAAACATTGATCCAATTTTACTAAAAACATTATTACTGCCATTATCGTCATCATCATCATCATCATCATCAAATTTATTTAATACAGATTTAACACCACCTTTGAATTTATCATTGTTGAAAATGTTGCCTCTCAATTCAGTTTCAACATGTTCAATAACACTCTGTTCAAATCCTACGATATATGGTGTTAATATTTCTTCAATCTTGTCAGGTAATTTATCAAAAATTTTATTGATGAAATTGCTTTTCTTTTCTCCTTCTTTATCGTCTTTCGAAAATACTCCAAACACCTTCTTTAATTTACTTTCTGATTTATCTCCAGATTTATCTCCATCGGCACTACTATGAAAAATTCCACGATCTGATGTTGATGATTTCGAACCAATGAATCCACCACTAACTTTACCAATCAATTTAGATTTAATTTGACCTGGTAATCTACCGGCAATCTTTTTCTTTATATCATCACTTGATTCATGAATTGGTGGTTTAATCAACTCAACAATCCTATTGATGATCCCTTCTTTACCATCTTTCAAAATTCCTAAATCCAAATTTTTACTAAATGACGATTTCTTTTTTTTTGTTTCTTCTTCTTCATCATCACTATCAGTTGTCATGTCAAGAATTACTTCCTTGCTACGTTTAACAATTAAATTGGTCAAATCGTCAGATGAATTTATAGTTGCATCATCAATATGTTCTCTGGTGGAATTTCTAATATCTTCTTTGAAATCATCAGACAACTTTCCACTGATTGAACCAACAAATTGCATTACATTTTCTAAAAATGTATCATGCTGATCATCTCCATCATCTATACGTTTCTTTAAGAATTCCATTACTTTATCTGGTAATTTCTCAACGATTACAGCTTTTAATTTTATAAGATTTTTATCTACATGTTGATAAATATTATCTCGATGTTCATCAACATATTCATTTAGCGCTTTACGTACCCTTTCTCTAACAACCATTTTTTAATTATTTATTTCAAAAAGAATAATAATTAAATTTTTCTTAAATAAATTTTTCCTGCTTTTTTTTATAATGGATAAAGAAGATAAACATTTATTCGCCTTATATGGTGATGTATAATAAGTTTCTCAAAAAAAGAATTGTTCTTAGAATATTTTTTATATATATAGAAAAATCGGAAATAACAATCGCTCATACATATATAGATTGATTGATTGATACAGGGACGATTTGCATAATCAAAATTGCAAAATTACCGCATAATTGTTGCGTACCGTAAAGTCTGGAGAAAGACACGCCCGTGACATTGCCTTTTTTGGTATTTTTACGGGTTGTCACGTACAATTTATTATATTAATCGTCACAGTTTTATAGAAAATTGTTATTTGTCACTGACGCTATCTTTCTGGATTTATGGTAATTGATAATAATAATTATCGCGTGATCAACAACATAACCTTTCTGTTTACATAATTATTTCTGAAGACTAATTAAAAATGTATTAGAGTATACCTTATGGTGACTTTTTTCAGTTTGAGTTTCTTTTTTGAATCCACTATTAATCCGAATTATAGTGTTCCAGTCACCTTTAAGTCATGGTTGACGGAGGATATTTTTGTGATCATTTTATGAGCAGGGTTGTTGATAATCATTGTTCATAAAAAAATCAAAAGAATTTATGAAATTGATAATAATGACAATGATAAAATTTCAATTTTTGATCCATAATTTGAGCACAATTATAGAAGATTTATATGCATAATTAACGCATAATTTATGCATAATTGATAGTTGACACATTTAATCTTGTGTAATAAAAGTTATATCAGGTGATTAAAAAAATGAATAATACCAAAAGGAATTGTAAAGAATGGAATGTTGATGCATCGATTGTGTCAAAAAGAACAATAAATCCTATTCGCGAAGTTGTTTTCAATTTACAGAGTACTCCAAATCCCAATAAAGAATATATTTCATTGGCATTAGGTGAAATAAATGATTTTAAACATTATTGCGTTTTACCTTTCTTCTTTCCATTCATACATTTATTTATTTATGTTTATAGGTGATCCTACTTATTATGGAAACTTTAAGATAGATGATAACTGTGTTGAAGCTGTTATCAAACAATTAAGATCTTTTAAAGCAAATGGTTATCCACCCTCTGTTGGCAAGTATTCATCATCAGATAGGTACATAGTAATCTAATAATAATAACAATATAATAATAGTAACATTTTATTTTAGGTGATCAGAATGCAAGAGCTGCCTTGGCTGAAAAATTTAACACAAAAGAAGCTCCATTAACACCAAATGTAAATAGAATAAATAAATATATTAATAGAAATAATGATTTCATTAATAAATTTTAACAATAAATAATATATTTATATATGTTAGGATATTGTTATAGCTAGCGGTGCATCTGATGCATTGAATCTCACAATTGGAGCATTATGCGATGAAGGTCAAAACATCCTACTTCCTAGACCCGGGTTTTCTCTTTATCAAACAATTTCTGAATCAAAAGGAATTGAATGTAGATATTATAATTTATTGGCAAGTATACATAATGATCATTATTTATTATTATTTTATTTATTATTTATTTATTAATCAAACACAATATTATATATCATATTATTTGAAATAGCCTGAAAAGAAATGGGAAGCAGATTTAAATCAGTTGGTTGAATTGATTGATGAGAATACAGCTTGTATTCTAATAAATAATCCTTCAAATCCATGTGGGTCTAATTTCTCTCAAGAACATTTAGAGGCCATCTTATCAATCTGTGAAACTTACAAATTACCAATAATCAGTGATGAAATCTATGAGGACATGGTATTCAACGGTTCAAAATTTTATCCAATAGCTAATTTAACAACAACTGTACCGGTCCTAAAAATTAGTGGTCTGG